ACACACACACACACCTTTCTTTGATAGCAACAGTGGATATACATAGGGAATGTGGAGACAGGGAGTAAGGGTTGGGGAATGACATGCAGCATACTGTCTGAAAGGTTTGTGGAAACAGTGCAATGCAACAACAATTTATAGGTGTTTTCAAACTCAATGTTCTTCCCTCACAAGAGAGAAACCCTGATTTRGTAAAAAGTATTGTGGGGAGAAACKGATGGTTGGACTCCAAAAACACAACGTTATCAATGTATCAGTGGAACTACTGATCACATGGTGTACCTGTAACAGTTGTTATCAACTTTGTTGTAGCTGCCCAGGGTGATTAAGGTTCCTGATGCAACACCATAGGAGAAGAGGACTTGAATACAGGCTTCCATCCACACCTGATTAACAAAGGTGAAAACCATGTGTGATAAAGTCATCACTGTTATAGCATTGTATCAAAAGAGCTGTTGTTTCATCTTCATCACTGGCCAAAAGTAGATTTGACTGGTCAACATTAAAAACTAACAATTGAACCATGTCTTTTAGTCCWATAGTCCCAGAAAAACRTTRYCAAACTTCATGATTTATCTAAGTTGTCTCACCTGAAGGTCTGCCAGACGAGAAGGTTCTGGATAAAGGTAATAGACCACACCCTGCCAGGCCCCTGGCAGTGTCAACCCCCTGACCAGCAGAATGACCAACATTACATAGGGGAACACTGCCGTGACATACACCACCTGAAATTTCAGTGGATGGATAACAGGTTTCAGTGTCAGGTTACAGAAGTACTGCCCCTATGATCCTGATAGTGTTGGTCAAGAGGTGCTTCCATGCCATGTCAGCACAACAGAAAGAAAATGAAAGATAATACCCCATAGTTACAATTTGTTACAAGTGTTCGATAACTTTGCCAGGACAGTAAATACGTGTTGGTACTGTAATTAGGACTGACAACAATAAAGCCAGTATGAACCAAATGTCAAAATGCTGCTAATTTTTATAAGATGAGACGGTTGAACCGATGTAGCAGATGTACAGTGATGGCTGTTGTTCAATGCAAATGTTGTAATCCCCATGTCCTTGACATTCCTTGTTATTTCTGAACTATGATAGAGAATTAAATCGATATGAACATTGTTTCAGTGGCAGAGAGTAACATTTACAATTGCACATATGTTTAAAGATGAGTTCCGGGGTCAGAGAAATGAAATGAGAGAGTAAAGAGAGAGAGGGACTATGGGAGTACAAAGTGACATAGTCATCGACATGTATTAAAATAAATAAATTAGTGTGTGTGGGGGAGGGGGGGGGCAGAGAGATGTGGAGAGGTGCTCAGTGCTGTAGGTCTAGACTGCTGAGAGTTCTAGACCTATAGCAGCTTAACTAAGAGATGGTTCAGGACTCACCTGATCCAGAACTAACTATAGGCTTTATCAAAGAGRAAMGTTTTWAKTTTAACTTTAAATGCAGAGATGGTGTCTGCCTCCTGAACCCAGAGTGGGAGCTGGTTCCACAGGAGAGGAGCCTGGTAGCTGAATGCTCTACCTCCTGTTCTACTCTCACAGACTCTTGGRACCACWAGAGAGCCTGTGTCTGTGAACGAAGTGATCTACTTGGATAGTACGGTGTTATCAGCTCTTTGAGATATGAAGGGGCTTGATTGTTGAGGGCTTTATATGTGAGGAGCAGGATCTTGAAATCTATTCTGAATTTTACAGGGAGCCAATGTAGAGAAGCTAAGACAGGAGTAATATGATCTCTCCTTCTAGTTCCTGTCAGCACTCGTGCTGCAGCATTTTGGACCAACTGGAGACTTTTAACAGWCTTCCTGGGACATCCTGATAATAAGGAATTACAGTAATCTAGTCTAGAGGTAACAAATGCATGGACTAGTTTGTCAGCATCCTTTTGAGACAGGATGTTTCTAATTTTCTTAATATTGCACTGGTACAAGAAAACTGTCCAAGAGGCTTGTTTTATATGTTGGTCAAATGACATGTCCTGGTCGAACATAACTCCAAGGTTCCTCACAGTGGAGCTGGAGGCCAAACTGACACCATCCAAGGTGACAATCTGTTCAGACAGTGTTTCTCTGAGATGTTTAGGGCCAATTACAACAACCTCAGTTTTGTCTGAATTTAGAAGTAAGACGTTTTGGGTCATCAAGGCCTTGATGCTCATTAGTAGGCTATATAAACTCAATTAATAGCAGACAGGTCTGAACTGTGTTCTGCTCACAGACCTTTCCTGTGGAGCGAACACCTTTCCAAATGCAGAAGTAACAGGCCACCCAGCAGGCCAGGAGACACAACAGCAGCTCCCATTTCACTGTGCCAACCTCGTCTATTCCCCCGGACATGGACAACACTCCTCTCCTGTGTGGGGACACCAGACAGTGAGTGGTGGTTACACATGCAAAGAATTATTGTCCTCAACAAGGACAGAATTAATTTATACCTTACAGTAATTTACAATGAGCTTTGTGTGGTAACACTAACTCACTCCCAGAACTCAGAGACTGAAGACTTGGTGAGATTTCCAGAGGTCGTGTTTCCCGTCAGGTTGCCAGTGTGTAGTGCAGTCCAGTTTGCAGATGTGAGGTCCACACATCTGTCTGTTGACAGGAAAATAAGTGTTGTTTAAACTTTAATCTTTAGATMACACAGAGATTAAAATGATTGTCAGGATATGATAGTTATCTGGTTATTATTTTATATTAATAAGTTAAAAAAAATACAAGGATTAGATAAAATAATTGTTTAACAAATGGTTCAGTGCCTGACTGGAGCTCTGACAGCATGGTTCGATACTCACTGAACTGAGACACAACCTAATGGTGTACATGCCAAACTCTGTTAGATGAATTCTGTGTCACACCACAGTAAAATCAAGTTAACTTTTTGTCCTGTCTCCATGTTCGTATTGTGACTTCCTGTTTTATTTTGAAAACTAACTCTCCTCTCGTTTCAGGTTACTTACCTTTCCTCATGTGCCTTGGTCTGATTGTCTTCCCCGATCCTAATTATGCTCACCTGTTTCCCATTACC